TCAACTCTTCGAGTTGACGTAGATATTATACACAGGTAAGTTGGGGAACTAGGGATCAAGCCCTGGGATCTGCCTCAGCTACCACGAATTGGTGAATACCGTTTCAGAACAGTAACCTAGCCGATCGCAAGATCCTGTCATCCTCGCTAGTGGTATCCCTGTCGCTCATAAGCTACAGAACTATACACAATCTGCACTAGGTCACTCTCCGATGCCTACCTCAGCGTAATGCACAGACCGATTTGAAATAATTAAATAATTAATCGGTGGCTAAATCGGAGTATACACATTTGGGTCCGACAGGTAAGTTCAGATTCCTACAAACGAAACTATTTTGAGTTTGACTAGTTCGCAAACAAAAAGCAGAATGAACAGGAGACTTTTCTAACTATGTTGCCTGTCATATGTTAATGGCTGTACATCTAACTAATTAAAATAAAAACAGAATCATTTGATTGGCTGTTTGCAAGATGGAATCTTTCCCAAACTTATCACCTGGAATCTACCCCTCCCTCAGATCTTCCTGAATGTCTCTTGTTGTCAACGTCCCTAAGCAATCCAGAACAGCGTGCGTGTCTAAAGGTGTGCACACGGCCCACCCCTGTGCCCCGAGTCCTGCTGAGCTGGCCAGCCCTGCACCATATTTATCCTCGCGTGCAGCGAGCCTTACACCGACTGATTGGCTGATCAGGAGGCATTTTTATGGATGGCCCCCGAAGTCCTCAGGAAGTATTTAACGTCGCAAACAGGACGACAATCACAGCCAATGGAAGGTACCCCGTCGGTGCTTATTTATTGACGTCCGGTACTCGTCTTTCCCATAGGGCTGGCCTGCCCCTCAGAACCTCTCTATAGCGCAGCGGCAGACAAAGGACAAAGCAGCAAAGCATGCGTGCTCTACTCCCGGTGGGTTGGCATGTTGACCGTGACCCAGTGCATCGTCCAGGGCCCTTCAGATAGCACCGCCTTCTCCTTCCAAATGCTCCACGTGAACATTGACGACTCTCAAGATTGAGCGCACTCGCCTCCTCACATGAGAGGACTCTCAAGACAAAACACACATCCTCGCGGTAAGAAGTGTCGAAGAGGGTAGATAAGGTTAGGTGCAACATACCTCAAAATAGCTGCCCCCAACCACAGATATTCTCACCAGATGACCTGATGCCGACTGTGATGACCAATCGCTGCTTCGGCACAACCAGCATTACACGGCCGTTCCACCTCAGCATCAATCGCACATCAGATAGTTCTCATCACACTGCGAACACCCAATAATCACCACTTAGGCTTCTGGCGATCCCCTCTCCACCTCGGTCGCCTGTTTGCCTTCGCCCTTCTCACTACACACTCCCTACGGCCGCTCGCTTAGCAGACCGCATGCATGTACCGCATAGGAAGAAGACAAGTGCCAGATGAGCGCACCTTACCACAGCTCCGATACCAAATTGCAAGGAAAATGAGCAGTAGTAAACTTCAGAAACCAAACAGCATCATCCATATGAGACCAGATAGTCGTGACCTCGGACCAAAAGCAGAATTGCATCACGAGTCACACCAAATAAGAGTGCAGCAAAAGTTCATAAGTGACAATGTTCGAGTAGACTAATCATCATCAAAAAAGAACCAATGTCGACATCCTATCTGGTGCTCGGCGCCCAGACTACAAATGGCAGATCCTATCTAGCCTATGTACAATGCCGCTAATGACATCAACAGCTCCCCGAAGTACGAGCAGATCTCGGCCAATGCTGTTCGCCTCAAGCACCAGGTATGTCTCTCGTATCACTCACAACCTCGATCCCCAACTCACAGATGCCACATGCACCCAAGAACCACCATGCGCCCCATCCAGCTTACAGCAGCGCAGCTCGGCTATGGCTGCCTGCTCCTTCCAGCTCGCCCGTGAGCGCGTGAGAGCTGGCCAGCGTTAGTGCAGCAGCGCTTGCGCAGCATGCAGCCAGTGCCCGAATGTCGAATGTGTGGGCAGACACTTTCCTACATGGAAGTGGCCTGCCTGCCTTGCATGCAGCCTGGCTGCGCTGGGCCCCTGCTCAGAAGCTTCCGGTAGGCCCAGAGAGGCTGAGCCCCAGTCCAAACGAAACAGGCCCTGGGCCTGTGGTGGTTGCCCGTGTCCAACTGCCCGCGGCCTGTGTTCGGTTCATGTTGCAAATCTGGCCCAGGGCCTGCCTCAGTTACATTCAAAAGAGACAGCCTGGGCCTGGGCGCTCTCAACCAACTGGCGCTGCGCAACTGCCCGAATTTACCCAGTTGAGTGACGACCCCAAAATTAGGCCTGTAGGCCCTGGGTCGAGCCTGCCTTCACTCAGGGCGGCCAACCGTACAGAAAATAGGGCCCAGTGGGGCAGATCGAGGCCTTGAGCCTCGCAAAAACAAGAGACAGGAATCAATGCCCACCTAAAACGTGAGCGTGTGAGGAAGGTATAGCAGTTATTAAGAAAAGAAAAGTTTTCACCTTCCATCTCTTCGTGGGCAAAGTGCATCGATTTCATCGATGAAGATGATTGCAGGAATACCACATGCTGCATCCTCTGCAGCCTTTGCGAAGGTGTCTCTCAGCTTCCTTTCGCTCTCACCAGCGTATGCACCAAAGACTGACCCTGCGCTGCTTGCCAAACACCAAAAGAGAAAACATTTTTAGCCTCAAATGCAAAACAAGTTGGGCAACACGATACAGAGAAGAATAGCATGGCCCATGCACATTAAAAGTTGAGAAAAAAAACAGTTGGGAAATACCTGTCTTTGCCAGTGCCATACAGTTCCTAAAAAAAAAAAAAAAAAAAGGTTGGGAAAGTTGGGAAACAGCTGTCTTTGCCAGTGCCATACAGTTCTTAAAAACAAAAATAAAAAAGATGGGAGACACCCGTCTTTGCCAATGCCATACAATGTCTTTCCTTTCTTCTGTTTGCTCTATTGACTAAAATGGGTGCAAGGGGGTGGGGGGCTAAAAGAACTCAAAAATTACATATGCTCACATACAGACTGCGCAGTAACAAACATTTATGGCTCTTCCTCCACTATTTTGGTGTGCGGCCCCAAACAGAATGCACCTGCACCTACAAGAATCACATAGAGGATAACATGGCGTCTCAGGTGGTCCTAGTTGGATCCATCTCGAACTACGGTCTCAGCTAGAGGACAACCCAGAGTCTCAGATGGATCCAACTGGAACTAAAAGTCTCAGCAGGATCCAGCGGGGACCACATTATCAGCTAGAGGGTAACCTAGAATATCAGATCGATACAACAGAGCAATATCTCTCCTGCAAGCCAGTCAGGCGAAGACAGCAGTTTAAAGCAGAGTATCGCGAGTCAATAGGCGGATGTTATAAACTTCTGGCATGACCCGTCTTGAACCCCTCTTGAATGCCTTTTGATCCCCTCTAAAACCACCACTGCCTTTTTCTGACCGTCCTCTGGGCCTGAGTTGGTTTCAGTGGATGGAGAAAAAAACTTGTGGTGGCCATTGGATGGGCCATCCGACGGATCAACTAGAAAAGTGCAGATCCCCTGGAAACCAGGGCGATCCAAAACTGAACTGATGGTTGAATTAACAGCTCGATCAGCATCATACACGCAGCATTCTCTGGAATGCCCCTTTGCTGTCATTTGTTCACAACAGAATCTTCTCAGGCAAGACTCTAGACTGAGAGCAGCCAGTGTACTCCCGGCTGGTTTGTAGACCTGCACTCGGGACCTGATGTCCATCAGTCACAACTAGATCTTCATGCCACGATAAACCCGTTCCGCTGCGGAATCCCTCGGCCTCCATTCTGTGGATGTGCACTGGAGGATGCAACCTGAAGGGGTGAAGCATGAGGCCAAGCTAGCGTCGAAATTTCCAAATCCCTGGATCGAAGATTGGGTCTGCTCTGAAAGACTAGGTGTTTGCGTTCAATTCCTGTCCAGTAGACACATATAGCTGCTGTGATAAACCGGTCACGTGTTCAAATCTTCAACGCCAGAACATGCAGTTGTTGACAAACAAGTTGAAGCTGTTAATGAACAGGTCAAAACAGGTCACGAGTTGTAGCCGCCAATAAACAGGTCACGACTTCAAATCCTCGACGGTACAGATGTTGCTGTTCATAAACAGCTCATAAGCTAGGTTGTTCTTCCAGGCGCCCGGGCACCCAACTTGTGCCCAGATTCACGCCCGGTTGCCCAGCTGGGTAGGGTTCTCCACAGCCCGAGTGCAAAAAGTAAAACATCAAAAAAATCCAGAATAGGATTCCGCACAGCCCCAGTGAAAAATGAAACGGTATTCACCAATTCGTGGTAGCTGAGG